AAGCAGTTCCATTGGCACAAATACAACCAATTGTTGTAATCCATTTTCGATTTCCATCCTGAAGATGCTGCTTATAGCCTCCTTGCTCATATTTGCGCCGAGTAAAGATTCTTTTCCGTTTTGTGCTTACTCCAAGCATGAAGCCCTTCTCATCCATATTATAGATTTGCTCTGGGCCGAGGTTATATTGCCGTATTTTCCGTCCAATAAGCTCAAAATATAAAGCATATTTATATGCCGAATCTGCCTTTTTTCTATCCGAATCAAGGCCCGTTGAATAGCGAGAAATCACCTTATCCGAATGAGCCTTGAGCCAGCGTGAAGCCCAGTTTTTCCCAGGCTCTTTACCAGATATTTCTCTTGCAAAGTTCGCCAACATTGAATTCGTAGGGGGCAAGCCTCGCTCGGTGAGTTGATTTATCCATTTTATAAGCGCTCGTGATTGCGTGGTGGTGAGTATTCGTTGCTTATCGTATTGCTCTTCTTTTGAGCCTGTAACACCGTGAAAACGTTTATAAAGGCCCGATTGGCTAACACCGTATGTTCTTGCAACCAAACTAATATTGGGCTTTTCTCCAGGATCCGCTGAACGTAATGCTGCAAGTGCGAGCTCCATTGAAGCCATATTGGCTGATATATCGCGGTGTGAAATATTCGCAATTTTTCGCGTTTTGGGGTAAAATTATTCCTCAGGTGGGTTTATTCCTCAGGCGGTGAGGGACGGTAGTACGTAGCTGACTAAAAACCAAGGAGTGTTAACTATGAAGACATGCCTGATTACTAAATTAACTTACAGCTGGAGAATAGTTTATTTAAATAACTTTTTACAGTATTGGAGCTCCGCGTTTTTCAGAATTCGAAGTTGCTTGTAAGTTCAGCCTTGACATGAAAGTTGAAATATACATCTCTAACCCTAATTGTATTTGGAAAATAATCACGTGATAAGGAATGTCACATGACCCTATACAAATCAATACCAGAAAGCCCCCCTAAGGGGATCTCCTGTTTGGTCTAGTGGTATTGAGAAATTGAGTGGGAACGTGTTCCGTATTGTAATGTGTGTCTAACTAAAAAGAGAGAAAATATCTGGCATAGGCTGCCATACAAGAATATTATGCAAATGTCACGGACCTGGATCCACCTTAGTTAAACAGCGTTGTGTCGAGATACGTTAAGCTTTGGTTGAACCACACAAAGGTTCTCTGAACAATAGTCGATAGGGTAACTTGAGTAAACGAAGTAACAATAGTCGAACTGGTGCTTGGAAGTCTCAAAGTAACTAAGATAGAAGAGATCCCCCGTACAGCCTGGTGCCCGTACGAGTTAGAATGCCTTGCTGACTCTCACTGTTGTATTCAAGTGACTTATGTCAAAGAGCTATGAGGAACTAAATACATGATGGTAAAAGAGCGTCCTTATATATCCAGTCCTCCACGTTTCGTAGTATCAATATCGTAGTATCGTAGCATACTACGATATTCTTGCTACATTACTATCTTTCCTGGTCCAATCATGTCACGTTATTTCGTATACCCTTATCTCTGATAAGATAGCAGTATATTTTATCCTTATCGTCACGTGATCCAATGAACCTTCCAATCATAATCCTGTAGTCGCGGTTTCCTGTTATCCAATCAATCCTCCTAGCTTGTTTCTTGTAACGAGTTGCTAATGCAGGTGATTGGCTTCGTAACAGCAAAGCTGTGCACGCTAGTTTAGTAAAGGGGTTTCTTGGCAATACCTTATACCGAGGTATTCTCGCTATCCAATGAGAGCAGGTGAGTGGATTTATGCGCTGTGCTCACCACATTCGGGATAGCGGTAAAGTAATCCTGTCAGGTATATTTGTTCTGCCATTGTGTAAAACGTATTTATGCAATTGTCCGACTCTATCAATATTAGCTAATTCTGTATTGTTGATTCTCGAGAGCCCACTTGAGCGCCGTTGCTCAGTAGCATCTGCACAATTTCCTGATGTCCTTTTTCAGTGGCAGCACAGAGCGCAGTAGAATATTTGCCACCCCGAGCGTTAACATCGGCCCCCGCCTTGAGCAGTGCCTGTACCACATCAAGATGGCCTCCTGCAGATGCAGCCTGGAGAGCATTGCCATAAAACCCCCCTGAGCATTGACATCTGCTCCTCTTTCGGTAAAATCTGTACAATGTCGTATTGACTCCCACAAGGGTAGTCATAAACCCTGTCATCACTTTCATCGTCAAGGAAAATTCTTTGTATCTTCTTGTTGATACCCATCGAGGCAACCTGAAGCGCTTTCCTATAATGTCCCCCTTGAGCATTGATGTCAGCCCCCTCGTCCAATAATCGTGGTACGATCTCAAGGTGACCTTCGGCAGGGAAATTGTGGAATATAAACCCGATCCAGCATGGCTACCCACAAGGTCCTGAACTGGAAGGGAGGAAAGTTGACTAATAACGATCTTGTCACCAAGTTTCAAATATATACCAGATGCAGTCTGAGCTATCTAGATTCTTATATCCATGTTGAATGATTGCTATTTTGTTATGTTACGTAGAGGAATTGAAATATGAGCAGCTTTCGTTACCTGCTTTGCAACTCCTTTATCCACTGATACAACATCAAGTATCGAATTGTTCTATCGTTTACATTACTAGGGACTCGCAGAGCACTGTTTAAGCGATATTGTCTTCACAAAGTTCACAATGCCGACAACCTACTATAACATTCAAAGTCTAACACAACATTTGACACGTGTAAACTTACAAATGATTAGTAGAAACAAAAAGAAAGTAAGACTCTAAGAGAAGGTCCCCGAGTGTCAAAAATTTTCATTTATGGTGATCGTCGTCTTGTCCGTTCTCCAACGAGGTAAAGTGATCAAGTCCTATTATGGTGCATGGCACCATTACTGCATCTTTTCCTCCGCTTTACTTTCGTCGTTCTGGCGAGTTTTTGCGTGGGAGTCGACCACTCAATAGTCAATACCCATCCCAACCTGTCAGGAGCGTTGGGACATCATCCCCTTTTACATTTTGTGGCTGGAGCGTAATTGTCTTCCCCATTTTTGAACTGAACGTGTTGTTCCCTTGTTGTGGCCTTTCTATCCTGGCCGAGGCCCATGTCCTCGCCCCAGGTGCCTCAGGGAGACGATGTTCGACACCACTCCCGGCACTCCGACGGCGTCTCAGAAGAGGCTTGATGATTCCCCACGCCTCGCCCAGTCTGTGCCAGGCTTGCTCTGGGTGAAGACGATATGCAAGCCTAAGAACATGTTCGGGAATTTCGAATTGTTCAAGTAGCCGGGCTGATTTACCAATATCCGATGGATTCATAATGCCTATGTTCAAATCTTGGTCAACGAGTTCCCAATGCCCAAAGAACTTGTCCTCAGGAGACATTACGGGTACGAAAAAGCGACTTTTGATCGGTTTTCTTTCAGTCACGTTCATTGATTCTGGTGTGACAAGATCCCATATGACCATAAAATTATTTGGATCACCGTGCGAGGACATGGAAAGATCAATCAAGTCAAGTATTTGAAACAATTCATCTGTCTCACTAGATGCATTTTCCTCGGTCGTTGCCTCAAGTGGGAATAATCGGGTAATGATGGCGGGAATGGGGAATATACAAGCAGTGCCTTCTGTGAAGCCGCCCACCAGGTGTTTCACTGGTAGATTCATGGCTACTTTGACCAGATTATTTAGTGGCTCTGGTCTGCGGTGTTCAGAGCTCACAATTGCTTTGCACAGCTTTTTAATTTTCTGGGCGGCTTCATTTGAAGTATATTGAGGTTGCTCTGGGTGTAAAATATCAAGAAGAGATGTAATAGACGGAGCGGATGGTAGCGCTTCCACACAGAGGAATTCTTCAGCAACTCCAAAATATATTGCGAGATTCAGGCTATGCACCAGACGTAGCGCCCAGAGCCGAGCCTTTTTGGCAATAGTATCTTCGGAGGTATTATTATTAATGGCTGGCCACTCCGAAGTAGTAGATTCTTTGCATAACGCCCAAAGCATCTCTGTTGGTAGGTAATGGCGGTTTCGAGTCCGTTGAGTGGCGTCTTCAATTAATTCTGTCACCTTGGAGTGTTTCTGGCTACCCGTCAATTTCAGGACGGCAAATAATCGTTCTAGATTCTTCCATTCCGATCCCGGACCTTCGAAAGAAAGTTTCTGCTCTTTGAAGTATTTTTCGATCCAGGTCGCGAGCTCGTAGTGGCTGCTCGCCATGGCGTTTTCATCTTCTGCACGCTTGTTAAGACGCTGGGCCGTACTGGCCTCGAGCTGTCGTAGTGCGGCTTCGCCCGTTAGAACAATGCCATTTATTAAATCCAAGATGCGTTTTTCGTCTTCGGATACTGCTCCATCCTGAGAGTCAAGTGGTTTGTATATCATATCGTGCTCGATCTCCGACCATACGTGCATAACTAGTGTTCCGACTTGGATTTCGACGACAATATCTTTCCAAGCGTGCTTGTCACACTCTTGAATATGTTCGTCCCGCAACTTTACTACAAAGTGAGTCGCCTTATAACCGGTGAAAGTTCGCATGGATCGTTGAAGCACGCTAGTATTGATCGCAGCTTGCGTGCGCCTCTCAGAATTCTGAAGTAGATCAAGACGATCTTCCAAGCTCTGAACATTGGATGGAGGGCCATGGCCTTTTTCAATTTGCCGGATGACAGTGAATTGTCTGTTGATAACAGCAGCGACCCTTTCAATATCACCTGGGAAATAGAGGGATATTCGAATACCGCCGAAGTCATGTAAGGCGGAGAACATTTCTTCTGGGCTTTTAAAAGGCTCTGTCTCTTCACCATAGAGACTAAAACCTGTTTCGCGAGTGTAGTCTTCCCATCGTCGACCCTGCGATTCTACCAGGTCACGTATGTGCCTTCGTATAACACGTTCCCGATTTCTTCGACTGACGCTCCCTTTTGCAGATTGCCATGATTTGATTCGTGACGTTATCGGAGGAAAGTGGATGTTTGACGCCTCTAGGGCATTGGAGCATAGCTTTCGGACTTCCTCGGTGTAAGCCCTCGCCGTGTCTACTCTGAGGTGGAAATGGTTGTGGAATAGTTCCCAGTTGTCGTTCTCTCCAGTGTAATCCATGATTTATTATCGAAGTCCGGATCCCAAGTTGAGAGAAGCGGGACGTTATGGTTTAGACGCTTTCCGTTACTGACTGTCCTATCTGGTATTATAAGATGTTCTCAGAGGAAAATGAATTTTTCTCGCTCTCGAAACGAGGCTGAGCTAAAATTTCGGACATCTTATCTACTACGTATAGAGCGGTGGCTTAGAGAGGACGATGAGCCATTGATACGTGGGGAAGGCAATACCCCTGTCGAACTACTGCAAGGCTGACCTGGCATTAGTTACAGGAAATTCCATACTCCGGCTACTAAGTTTCGCTCCGCATCAAGTGAAAAGATGTTCAAGAACACCTCCAAGCCGTGTCTTAAGAGCATCAATGTATTCGATCTTCTGATTCTTATCCTGTTAAAAGCAAAATGGACACATCTTACAGTGATTATGTTACCGCCTTGGCTCGTCAAAACCCCAGTCTAAAGCGACTCTCAGACTTTCTTCGTCATCAGCTTCGAACAAGTTGTAACAGCCTTGTCACCTACGTCGAAATCGGAACGACCGGTGATGTAGGTATAGCCCAAGAAACCAGCACTACTAAACTTATTGATCTAGTCAATTCTGGGCTGAATAAAAGCATCATCGTGACGGTGGAAAATATCCATCCCGATGATGTAGAGTCCCTCGGCTCATGTCTTGACATAGATCCATTCTTCTTTTGTGGTCATATCGCACCTTCATATGCGGACATTGAAAGAAATCCCCTACCATCGTTATTGGCTCTGCCACCTTCCCGGCTCGTTTCCGGATCGTTTATCAATATTCATTACCAAAAGCTGCTGGACTTGGGCGACGAGGTCGCCTTGAGCCGTGTGCCTTATGATCTCGCCTTGATGGCGAATGTCACTCGGAGTGTTCGACGTTTGCCTGCGCTATCGGGTAGATCGATTGGTATCCTTCGAGCATGCACCTCATTGATAAAAAAAGATCTGCCAGGTGGTGTTTGGATATGTACGTAATGAAGGGCCCTTCACTCTCATACATGGTAATATCAACTGATGATAGATCCAGCCTTGATACTAATCGATCCTACCTCTGAAATCCTGGTGCATCCAATACGTGGCATCCACGACATATTTTTCGGACCTATAATTCCTCAATCTCCTCGTAGAATTGCAACTGAAACATTCTGCAAACCGAGTTATGCTGAACATCAATCTGCGAGCAGCGGTAACCGGAATATCGAGCCTCTCAAACCAAGCGAGGAACCCCTAAGCTTCTTTCACGCTTCGAACCTTAGATGGAGAGGAGGAAACCCTAGCATATTGGCTCTTGCTTACAATCCAATTCAAGCAGTGGTGCAAGAGTGGATACTATATGCTTTGCTGATGGGGCGATATGTCAAGTACTACGAGTACTCCTCTGAAACTGTCCAAATGCGCCGAGAGAGTTTTGAGGAATATGATATCATAGAGCTCCATAGATGGCGGCGCCGAAGCCTCCAGAGCCTCCACAAGCTGGGCATAGTGAGACGTTTTGTTGAGCACTGGGCCTCAAAAGAGAAGAACTTGAGCTTGGACATGGGTGTTACAAACAAGGCAACGACACAAGAGGAGTCGGTGATTTGGAACCTATTGATTGGGGATATAAAGTATGTGGAAGAGCAGATCATGCAGCATGCTCGCTCTCTTGAGGCGTTGAACCCAATCATTACTGCCCTGATTCAACTCGCCGATACCAAGAGGGCCATCTCACAGGCCGAGGATACCCGGCGTCTGACGTACATTGCCATTATTTTTCTTCCCATGTCCTTCCTCACCGGCCTTTTCAGTATGAGCGAGCCATATGGTCCTGGAAGTGACCGTTTCTGGATATACTGGGTGGTCGCGTTACCACTTACGGCGTTCATTATAGTAGTTCTAGTGTTGGATCTCAGATTTAGGTTTCTTTCGATTTTCTGGGCAATAATGCAGAAGAGGAATAGTCTACCTCGAGGAAAAAGAGAATAAGATCATTGTTTATTTTATTAATCTGATTATCCCGGATATAGTGGCATCAGCGAGTGTCTTTCGGTATGGATACATGGTAGAGGTTTGAAATTTATGGGATTATCGTCCGAAAGAGCAAAACGCGTTAGGACAGCTATTATGTTGGTGTCTGAATTAAATATTCGTCATATAGCTCTACTGTGGTGTATTATACACCAAATAGGACATGCATTGCTCGAGGGTTCTTTAGAGTAGATTCTCATATCGCATGACTAGGTCCTGATGATGGTTTGAACGTTGTTCAAACGCTCTCTCAAGACCGGAGTTGACCATTTCAATCTGCTCAGAGAGATGCAATACTAGCATAATCCAACGCCTTCATATTAACTATTTGATATACCGAATCGATTGTATTCGAAATCTAGTCCGGTTACATACACTGCCTAACCAGAGATAGCCTCCTAGCTGCTTGCCCTGGAATCATTAGCAACAGCTCTTTCGTATAAACCGCAGCCGTTGCAGCAGTATACGGTTGCTATGCCTTGTTCTTATGAGAATCAGCATAGTTATATATCCCTCGAATGACGAGACAAGGATACGAATCTATCAATCCTAAATTCAAGGTTAGTCACGAAATGATGAAAGTAGGCGCTCGACTTACCGGCAGCTTCTATCTTAAAGTATAAAATGTTTTCTGTACGCACCCACTAGTCCCTAAGGACGGCATCTTTCATCATTTAATTGGCGGACCTAATGGTCTTATAGTGAACCTTGGGGGACTGTATTGGTTCGGTCTGTCCTCTTTGTAAAGTTCGTATTATCTGGCCTGTAATAAGCCTTCCATGACTTCTAACCTTCTAGATAAGTGAAGTTTGCTTTAAATAGGTGGTCACTTTTTAACTGGGGTGCTGGAAATTCAATATGGCAGGATTGTTGGTAAGTATTTTTGATAATAGTTCCGGTATTTAATGACGTTCTTGAGTATAATTGGCTTGAAGCCTAGCAACTACATTTAAAACAATATTTGGTGGTTTATTTAGTTTTCCCCTAGTATGAACAAACCTCTTTTTCTGTAATAACTTGCTAAAATCGTATTGCACGACCAATTCCGTTGTCTTCGTATGTAAACCGACAATCATGTTACCTAGCCTTATATCTGGTATATCCTCTATCTCATCTTCTGAGTTATCTGAATCCACCTCTCACCCGCATCCGTAGCTGGTGGCTCTGATGGGTAATAGGGTACGCTACCGCTGATTCCGACCATTAACCCGAATCTGATCGACGGGAAGCTGCGTATCATATCTCTGGTGACCATGGTGGCTGGTACTTTGCCCGTTGATTCTGCCGGGAGACAAGCGATTACCACATTGTGGTCCCCAACACTGCCGAGAAGCTATGAATCTGCGTCTTGTGGATCGGCCGCTGGGAGTACTGGATGTTCTTTATCTAGCATTGCTGCTGCTGCCATGAGCTCGGTCTTCGGTAAAGCACATATCCATCCGATCGTATAATCCTTGTGTGTATATTGCCGGTCAGCCATATTTGCCTAGAGCAGATCATTCATCATAAATGAAGCGATCGAGAACGACGTTGACAGAGTATGCCGTTATTAAGTTTACCATTCCATCAGCCGTTTAACTTGACTGGCGGATCGATGCCTGATGGAACTGAGATCACGTGAATGCGGAACGTTCACACCCGTTACATACCATTACCAAGAAACCCCACCAAGGGGTACCCCCCTTTGGTAAAATTGGTATTTTGGTTACCGTTTTAGTTCCGACAGTGCCTCTTTGTCACGTGAAACGGCCGCCATATACTGGGCAAGGAGCGCCTACATATTACGTAGTCGGTAGTGGGACGATGTTTTTGTTTCTTTCTTGGTGTTATGATGTTCGCCTATTCCCAGTCTAGCGATTTCAATAAGAATGAGATCTTCAATCCCTTCGTTCTGACCCCAATTGATAAGTATGTTTTCTCTCAGAGACTGTGCTAAGGATGACTTGATTCTACTTAAATCCAACGAGACCTTTATCTTGAAGAGAATGTCATGTGAGGTAATTATTGGTAATTTTTAGAACCACGATGGTATATAAAATTTTTGAATGAATTATAGTTCATTGACTTTTCTAAATGGATGTAGGTTGACCGAGACATATATCTCAATCCCTATCACACGGTTGCAGCCACCGGTTTCAAAAGGGAACACGAAGAACCAAGTCACGAATCACAAGCGTCGACATCCAAGGCGATCGATCTGGCGCGGAAGACTCAAGCGGGTTCACCTGTGGTAAACGCAGATATGGGGTTAGGGAGAGTCCAAGTGAAAATAACTCGGGCGGGGAGCCTGTGGCAAGGGAACCAGGTCGGCGAGCCGAAGTGACAATCCATGGATCGGTACACTTGGACCTAGCGGGAAACCAAGAGTTTGCACCTGGGTGCAAGGTGGATCCATTTGCGCACGCCCCAGTGCCGCCGGAGCCCGGGTTCCCACTGCACCCGGACCGGTGCCACTCGGCGTGAAGCTAACCTGAAGCTAACCCCTCATGCCCCCCGTTCTAGGTGCAGCACATCATCGGCCGCGCTTCCGGCCTCGTGTCAACGCGGTCTCTTTGGCAATGTCATCCGCTGCCATCGCCATCGCGCGAGTGATGGGCCGCTCCAGTGGCCCGTCTTTGCGAAGCAGGAATATCGATCTCGTCCCCTCCTCCAGCGCCACCTCGACACATTTCGCGGCTGCGATTGCGTGCATGTTTCGATCGACGAATTCGACTGGCTCATCCCGTTCGTACCGCAAGGCAACGCGCACGGCGCGTAACGGATCCGATTCCTCGAGCGTAACTCGTTCCATTTCTCTCCATTTGTTGGCCCTCCACACCCAGAAGATCATCGAATCCGCTCCCAGGTCATCGGGAAGCGGCGGGAGTTGTCGTCGAGGATCAGACGTCTCATTCCGCCGTGGGTTGCGGCTCCTCCAGAGACGAGCCAGTCCAGATGCTGGCGGGGCGGCTTGCTCCGTAGTCGCTGAAGAATCGGGACCAATGTTGCCCGGAGAGGTTTCCTGAGTGCCCGGCCACGCCGGGGCGTTGGCCATGATGGTCTCGAATTCCAGCAGAGTATCCCGAGGGAACGATGGATTGAACGATGCTGCCATTGATGCGCTGGCTGCAGGGATCGCGGTTGGGGCACGATCTGTTTCCATGACCTCCGAAGCTCCTTCGGGAGACACAGTAGCCTCTGTAAGCCGTTCCGGTGGCGCAGTCACCACCTCCTCGTCCGGTTCGTAAAGATCCTCATCCTCTGCACTGCGGGTTTGAGTGAAGTGGTCCTCATTCTCAAGTGATTTTCGTTTTGCGTTGGCAACATTTTCTCTATTGGCCCGTATGCGTTCGGCGATCTGTTCTCGAAGCTGTCTCTGGCGATCATCGTCGATGATGACGGATGGACTAGGATTCGAAACTTCTGCTTCTTCGGTAATCGGCTCTAATCCAGCGGTGATGGCTCGTGGTGGTGATCCGTCGTCGGTTGGCACATCTACGGCGTACGAGTCCAAGGCAGCCTGGCGAGCATTCTCGAGGGAATTGTGCGTTGCAATGCCATGTGGTCCAACACGGGCATTGTCATCCTCATCCAGCGGGTCGGAAGTTTCCCGTAATTGGGTGATGAGACTGGGCAAGTCAGGCGTGATGTCAGTTTGTGTGGTGGAGCTCAGTCGTTCCAATGGGACTGCGTCGGTCGGTGTGGAGATATGGTCATCATTCTGTTCTAGATGCGCCAGAGCGACGGCTCTCTCCTGCGCAATACGCTCCTCCTCGGCAGCAGCTCTTTCTGCAGCGTCTTGGCGAAGACGTTCTTGTTCAGCTGCGACGGCTAGTCTTCCCTTCTCTTCCTCGGCAGCACGCTCTTCCGCTTCTCTCTCCAACCGAGATTGCTCTGCTGCCTCTGCTTCTCTGCGGATTCGCTCCTGCTCTGCGGTTTGCTCTTCTGCTTCGTGTTGTATTTGCCGTAGTCGCTCTTGTTGAGCTGCTTCATTTGCGGCTCTTTCTTCTGCTTCTCCTTGTAAACGGACCTGCTCAGCGGCAATCGCCTCCTGTTCTCGCCGTTCTTGTTCAGCTGCTTCGGCGGCCGCTCTCTCTTGGGCTTCTCTCTGAAGTCGTTCCTGTTCAGCCTCTGCAGCAACTCTTTCCGCCTCTCGACGAAGTCGTTCTTGCTCAGCCATCTCTGCTGCCGCTCTGGCTTCCGCCTCTTTTTGAAGACGCTCCTGTTCGATCCGTACGCGCTCCTCTTGTTCTCGGCGTTCTTGTTCCGCTGCTTCTCTCTGTAACCGGACCTGCTCGGCTACCATTGCTTCTCGTTGCAGCCGTTCCTGTTCAGCGGCCTCTGTGGCCACTCTTGCCGCCTCTTGACGAAGACGTTCTTGTTCAGCCACAGCAGATGCGTCTCTCGATAGGCGTCTTGGATCGGTAATGCCTGGTACTGCTTCCGGGGAGACCTCTTCCGTCTCAGTCACGAGCAAAGTCCCATCCATCCTGGTGTCGGACCCGCCTTCAGATGCATCATCGGGAACAAATAGCGGCGAACGGGGGCTCGCAGAGTTGGCTACGCTAGCAGTTCTCTCGCTAGGGGCATCGGGTGGTGGAGAGAAACACCTTCCAAAAAAGGCGAAATACACACTCCGCCGCACAAACCAGGTCGAGACTTTCTCAGTAGCTGATACTTCGCGGTGCAGGTGGTCCAGGAACAGGGATCGACGATCGTTTTTCTGGGCCTGTCGAGACGGGAGCCCACCCCGTGCCCTCCGGTTGACAGCGAGTGTCATGACAGGACGGGAATGCAAAGGCAGTTCGCGCGGAGTGGCCGCGGCGAAGCACTCGACAATGCGGCGAACGGACCGCTCCAAATCAGCGGCTGAATACTGATAGCTCTCGGGTTTTCGAGCTTTGAGCAGGCAGTCCACCGCGATTTGTCGATCTGGAGATTGATCGATAATCTCCTTGATGCCAGCAGACATAAAGCCCAGCTTCTGTGCAAGGACTGCCATCTCATAGACCACGGTCTCGTCAGCTTTCTCACTCGCGGGCCGGGTTAATAAATCATCGCTTTCGGGGTCTTTGCTCATGCTGGGGTAATGACGCATTGCGTACAACCAAACCTGTCGATACGCCAGCTCCAGATGATTGACATTGTCGCTGGGACGACGGCTCAGTTGGGATTCGATCGTCTGGATGAGGCAATCATCACCGGATGCCGCGGGACGCGCATAGGAATGGCTCATCGCCGACCATAGCGTGGGATGAGTTTTGGACAGCGGAAACAGTCGCTTCACCGCATCAGCGCACGCCTCCAGATAGTCCATGTCTCGGAAAAATGTGTGGAGAGACGGAATCAGACCGTCAAACTGTTGCATGCGCTCCCACATACTGCTTCGCTCCGTCTCGCTGAATTCCTCCAGAACCTCACCGCTGATCACCCAACCACGTACCGTTCTTGCATCGACCCGGGACCTTCCCGGCGCCATTGATTCCAGTTTCTTCACCGTGTGTGAATCGATCTTCCTCATGGCGGCGAGGTTGGGATGAGCGGCGTCGACGCTCACGAGCTCGACCCAGAATTTCTTGATGTGTGAGAGATAGTTCAGAACCTCCTATGAAAGATCAGTCATGCCCGCGGCGACCGGAGAGGTTTCAATCACCTTATCACTGTCGAGAGCCATCACTTTGGACAGCTTCCCAATGCTCATCCCATCCCACACTCCAGAAATCGGTAAAAGTGCGTCAAAAGCACATTGAATATCGATATTTTTGTGAAGCTGTTGGAGACGCCTAGCCTTGCTTGATGATAATCTCACCCACCATCGCCTCTGAAAGTGAGCGTTGTGCTCCTGTTGGTACTGGCGGATTTTGCGGTAGATCTCTCCGTCGTTGGGTCGTCGTTCGTTGGCGTATTCTTCGATGAGTGCGGTGCGTAACTCGGTGCTGATATCTATGCCTTCTTAGTTCTGCAGACGGGAAGGGAGAGGTGGCGGTTACCATTAAGGTAGAGGTCAACGGTCCACCATCGGTCTTCTCCTAGAAGGACTTCTGCCCCAGCTCGAACTCTATGCTGGCCGTGGAGACACAGAACCTGGCCAGCAGAGAACTGAAGGTGGGGGATACTTTGTGGCGTTGTAGTGATCAGTTCATCTTGGGCCTTGTGTGCTGCACGGAGTGCTGCCTGCAGGGACTCCCTCGAGACAACACCTGTAATATGGTTTTGAATCTCATATCGGCGGCATCCTTCTGAGCGAAAAATCTCACGGAGTCGGTCTATATTTTTGGGATCTATCGTTGGTGACGAGTCAGGGTGGAAGCTGATGTGATCGAGATCGATCTTAGCGGTGCCTAGGTATTTTCGACTTCGCTCGGTTCCCACTTGGAGCTCAGTGTCTGTAAATAGGAAGGGCTCCATTATTGGTGCCTAGTATGTCCCTGAAACGATTCGGGATCGCGGAGGGAGTGAGACCCTTTTATAGGTGGTCCGTCATCTACTCTGGACCGTTGCAGATCGATCCCACTTGAGTTCGTCTGAGATTATAAATAATCTAAATAGTTCCGTTCCCACTCTTATTTTATTTCCCATTATTTACTTTTGGGGTCGTAAGCCATCATGTCTTCCAAGTCCGACAAACATAAAACCGCGTTCGATCTTGTATCCAAGGTAGTTCAAAACCCTGCTATACAAACCCCCCTTCAGAATGTCCCGGAAAACGAAGCGATCGAACCATCAAACAAGCAGGAGCACTCTTCTAGCAGGGAGAATCTCGACCAAGCTCCGAGTCACGGACAAAGGAGCCTTCTGAAACTTAAGAACGAGTCTCCATGGAATTCGTACAGGAAGGAATTCGGCTGTGAGCTTGCCGGAGACGCCGTCGCGGTCGCCCATAGCAAAAACCCTTCGAAGGTTCTGTTACTCAGGTCCTACCCTGACGCTATTTCGTCCAAGATGCTACAATGGTTTTCCCAACATCAACACCGTCATATCATGTCTGCCAAGGAGGCCTATTTCTTCAAGAGTTCATTACACATTATATGTGAAGACCTCCCCTTGACTTTGGAGAATCTCACTATCTGTCGTGCCTATCCAACGGAAGCTCAACTCGCTGTGATCATGAGACAGGTAATTCTTCCTGAATTGTTCAAAGACACAACTAAATCTCGATAGATTCTGGAAGGTCTATCATACCTGGGAAGCCAAGGTCTTGAGCATCAGGCTTTGAAATCATTGAACATCTTAATGAATCTGGATGGCATCGTCAAGATAGGTAGAGTCTTAGAATGTCATCTCTTCGCGAAATATGCACTGAGTCCATCCAGGTTCGTTAGAAGACGTTCACGCCCGAGACCAGAACCGAGACCAACGCGCAACTCTGGATGCTATAAAGACAATTGCTATGGAGTTGATGGAGAAGCATACTAAAAAGAACGGTACTACTGGCGTGAATGACCTGAATCGTTGGCCAGTGGACTCAAACGCGGTGAAGTTTCTTGCGGCCATTGACTCTGTCAGTACCGTCAATGAGTTGAGAAAGGTGAGATAGCTCCAACCAATTTCGCTGTTGTGGTCTGACGGTCTATTAGCACCAGCTCATAAGACAATGCACCGCCACTGAGGGTGAGCTGGTTGGTTTAGCGCGATTTGCCTTGGTGTCTACTAGGACTTTCTATTCCTATCCATAGTGAGCTAACACTGGTTGCTCTGGTGTCGTCCCAATCTTCTAGAAGATTGAGATTAGTAAGCTAGAGCTCATCACGTGATTGTCACTACCTGTTGAACGCCAAGCGCACTAAACCAAATATGGAGCATACGGATCAACAGAGAATTACTTCAAGTTTTACACAGAATCTTCTACAAATCGTTGCCTCGTTGAGCATTACAAATCAACTACAAATTAAGTTATGCATCAAGAACGTTCTGTCAAACCTCGTCACTTGTTGAATGCTTGAAAATTTGCATAAAAAATCCCCTAAAAACCCATTACAAGGATATTTTAAGAACCGTGCCCGATACAGAGAATCTTGTGATAACTATATTCGTTCTTTTTCACGCTTCGGTACCTAATCAATTGCTGTAAACGCTCTAGCCCATTTTCGGTTCATCACTGGCACACAGCCAGAAGCCCTTGCCTCGCATGTTCCAACCGAGATCGTAAGCATTCAACAGAATTTGCAGCTCCTATATCGTATTATTAAGTGTAAATCTAGTCTTAATGTAGCAACATTGAGCCAATCATGAATGCACTCCCTTAGCTATCTAATGTATGCGCCAGATTGAAATACTATCCTCAGTCATGTGAAAGAACTTCGGAAACATCCGTATCGATCTTCGTATTGATTCGTTGCCAGTGAGTTTTTGCACCTTCATTGTGGTCAATTGCATGGGGTAAACCACCAATATTACTTGTGACTTGCTCTGTCAAAGTGAGAGCGGGCTTTCTGCCGTTCAAGAGATCTTTGACAGGCTGCTCGTATTTGTGACATAGTGCTACCACCCTAGGCTGAGTATTTAAGACGTATGTAATAAAAGCCTCCAGTTCAATGAGATCGACTTTGGCGCTGTGACAATGGTCAGAATGGATATTCATTGAAGGATACAGGTTACTCACAGAGTTGTATCAATGTTGTTGAAGATGATTAGTGAACCCCACCCGATATAGTGAGAGATCAGATACCACCTCCTCCCCTTAGCATTAGTCTTGGCGAAGCGACCACGATCCTTAGGTGCTAACGGATCATCAGAATAACCGTTACTGCCGTCCAATTTCATAAGATAGTCAATGGCATGACTTGCAATTCTGCGGCTATTCAGGCGGGTCTTAAAACAAGGGCTTTTGGGGTTTGTCATTTCGTTGCACAGGCGTACGAAAGACAAATGTAGTTTTAATTGTACAAACCGACGTCTGATCACATTGATTCCAGTTTCTTTCCCGAGATCCCAATCATACCGGAAGAGCCTCAGACATGAACTGCCCAATGGCAGCTCTTCTGGCATCGAAAGATGGAGAGCGTCAGGGCTCCAGAAGCGATTTGTCCGCCAAAGATTGCTCAGATTCTCTAGAAAGGTTGCTAGATCGGGCCGTGAACTTTTCGCGTACAGTGCCAATACCCGGATGAAAGAAGACTCCGATAATTCTTCCTTCTCCGCCTTACCGGAACCAAATAGACACCGCATTTGATCATAAGCGGAATACCTTGTCACTGAACGAGAAGCATCAGCTTGCTGATTGGAGATCTTCTGAGCGGTAGACCGTGCATGCTTTGCTTCGCTGCTCTTCTTCAAAGGGGGTTTTTTCCTAGGTCCAGGCTGTCGTAAACGGCCACCATCACCAGTCGGCCGGACTCGTTTCTTCTGTGGAAAAATATCATTGCCTTCACAGCTCACATCTTCTACACTTGCTTGCATATTTTCACCATCACCAGTCGGCCGGACTCGTTTCTTCTGTGGAACGATTTCTTCGCCTTCATCGTTCACATCTTCTACACTTGCTTGCATGTTTTCATCACAACCAGTCGGCGAGGCTCGTCCAGTCTGTAGAATTATATTATCCATTTCACCGCTCACGTCGTAGACACTTGGTTGCATATTAGCTCGCGTTGCGACCTTCTTGATCTCCGGAGTTGAATAATCCGCTGTTTCAATCGACGTTAGGGAACTTATTGCTGCGATCCCGCGCACGTTCGACGAGCTAGTATCAGGGTTACCATTGTCCTCCAGGTTACGCATAGTATCAGTAGATGGTAGACTGTCGTTGTTCAAGTTCCGTCCTAGATCAACCGAAGTTAACCTCACAAGCCTGTCATCCGAGCCGTGACTTCGGAGCCCTTCGCTTAGTGGCTCGCCCTGCTTTTCTAGCAAAACCGGGTTGATGCATGGGGGATCTGGTATGTGATCGGGTTCTGCTATATGTGGATCGTGGTGTGGACGAGAGAGATCACCTGGCAATATATTAATAATCAAAACAATCAAGTCACACTGCAGACAAAAATTCTTCTGGTAACGAACCTCTTTGTTGCAACTTTGGACGACGAATTTTTATTCCTCTGAAGCAAGACAATTCCGCCCCGTCGATTTCTCTAACGAGACGAGCTAGCTTCTGGCCAGTTTTGTCGAATTGGGAAACCGCCTCTATGAACTGGCAAACAACCAATCCAAGCTAGCACTTTGATCAGCAGGTGAATTTCCTGACATGAGCAGAACTGACCTCTGGGTTTGCTGTGATCGCACGATCGAGAAACTCTGGAATACGGCCCATTGCTATACCCTATTCTGCAGAACGGTATACCCCCATCAACCGCTGAATTACCGAATGAGTTACCTGATAATAAATAAGTACGAGGAATATTTTTGATAGAGCGATGTTAGACCGCAGTGCTGGTCATTCAGTGGGTAGATTGGGTTAACAACTGGTGCGGAGGAAAGAATGACAAAGATCCCACATTTTACGTAGTCAGTATTGGGGTATATCAGACAGGTACAGCGATCCGGAACGGGAACAGTGACTGAGAACTGAAAGAGACAAACGCTAGAACTTCATGGACCTGTGGAGAAATATCAAGACCCACACTTTCCCTAGCGGTGTGGTTCACATGCCGTACATCCATGTGCAGGTGATCGAAGTGCGAGGAGAATGAGAAACCGTCTGGAAGATCAGGTTCCCCTTCTCATCAAAAGGGCAGCTCTACAACATACATAGTACTAGTAAATAAAAACAAGACAGAGCTCAACACTATCATTTAGCTCCTTCTGGATGCAGGAGCATCGCCCACGTGTGAATCAACCTATTCCTGCCAGGCACCGGAAGCAGGGAGGCTAGCCATTTCGGTTTTGTCTAATTAACTGTGCCCTTCGGTCCACAAGTGGAGTGTCGAACCGCATCAAATCGTATTTCCGCGGTCGATCAAGGTTCAAAGCCAGTCCTGTACAGAGTACTCCGTATCCGTACAACCATCAAAAGTACTTACGTTAGCGAGTGTTTTCCCAATGTAGTTAATGCGCCGACGCCATCATATGCTCATGCAAAAATGTGGTGGTTTCTGGTGAGGACCACCATGATCATATGCCGTTGGAAATACGTATGATGATTCTACCCAGATGGGCAAGTCGGCGGCCTTGGCCTCGTATCTCACCGAATTGGATGCGGGACGGATATCCCGCCGTTTGGTGCCTGGATATTAAGGCGAAAAATGACTAATACATAAATGGAGATATAATTGGATGCCTTTGAACCACCAAGTTTTTGGGTCTGCGCCAACTGACCTCGCGTTTCGACCTCCCTACCACTCAATTATCAACTCTTTATCCTTTTTGATACAGCGCTATATTAAATCGCTGTAGATTGTTTTCATTGAATCAACTTTGCATCATCTAAGAGGTCACGCTCACAATCAACATCGACCGACCGTGGACGCGCTCGTTCTGTTTCACCGAGTGCGAGTGCGTCATCTCGTGATGCTAAATCATATGCATATAAAGCGGCAAATTATGTCACGACTCTAGAGACCAAAGGCTGCTTTATGCGCCATTCCCCCGCCGGTCCGACTCCCGATGACATCGCGCTTTGCCAGCGACTCCTCCATCAACCAGTTGAAATCCCGCGCGGTCTATTCGACGATGAGTTCATCGAGGATTTTCACAATGCATTACGAAATCGATCAGAAGCGCGACTGCTGGTAGATTTACATCCACTCCTCATGCCATCTGCAGAGAACCGCTTCATCCAAGGGAAGGACGAACTGAAAGCTGTTATCGATGGTTACAATGATCCATGGCTCAAGACAGAGCCAATCTATGGTCCCAAACCACAGCCGGACCATGCTCGAGGCTTAAGGTGGTCGACCTTTTCAGACAACCAGCGGCGAAAGCTTGGAATCAAGCCGGACGAAAAATCCCTCTATGCGGTGCGAGAAGATATGTACTTCCCTTACTTGACGTCAAAAATTAAGTGCGGGAACCAAGCTTTGGAATTTGCGGATCGGCAGAATATGCACAGCATGTGTATTGCCCTTCGCGCGGTGGTCAGCTTAGCTGAAGCTGCCGGCCGTCTGGGAGAGGTGAATCGGAGGCTCCTTGGCTTCTCGGTTTCGCATGAATTAGAGGGTGTGCGAATCTACGGCTACTATCCTGAGATTGGCGAAGATGGGGTCAAATATTATCGCTGGTTAGTAAAGCAGTTCAACATTTGGGCAGACGGGGATAAATGGGCTTGTTATCGTTTTGTGGAAAATCTCGATCGTGACTTCCTTCCCATCCATACTGACCGGTTAATGCGTCTTCTGGAAGAAATTCCTGATCCCCAAGAACTCCCTTTTGAGCTCGATGTCGATGACGATATAAGCTCCCAATCACGAATCTGGTCCCAAGAACGGCCCTCATATAGCCGGGCGCCCTCTGTACAGAATCGGGCCTTACAACCGGAGCTACGTAGCATGATTCAAACCTTGCAGCAGCAGTTAGAGGAACAAAATCTAGACCATTCTCTGACTAATCTATTCCAGGACTAACTAGTACTATTGTCTTAAGACAATGGCTTGTTTATAAAGTGCAGTAGTTCGCCAAGCCTGCCCCTGATCGCCAGTCTTCGGTTGACGCTAATCTGGCTGAACGCTCGCGCAACTTGGATGAAATGGCTTTGACCTTGAGTTACGCATAGATATCCTGGTAAAACAATAGAATTGACACCATTCAGGCAGCCTTTTCCGTTAAGCGCTGCGTCCAGCGCAGCGCCTAACTTGCCCGAAGCTCCCTATACTCTGAAGTAACTCGTACTCTGAGGCTAATTTGCTCTGGAGCAACTCGTACTCTGGATCAACTCGTACTCTGGAGCAACTCGTACTCTGGATCAACTCGTACTCTGGAGCAACTCGTACTCTGAATGGACGGCCGACCAGCTCGACAGTGGATAAGCAACCAGAAGTGACGCTAGTCCTAAATTTATCTAGCGTTAAGGAACTGAAGACGCTATCTCGGACAAACTTCGGACAAAATACACTCCATGGTTTTTGGAGCCATGGTTTCTGGTCCTGATCCTGCAAGAACCAAAAGCGCCCATCTTATCTCTGAAATGGCTGTTGAAGCCTACCATCAATTACACTTCATCCCATAGTTCATGTCTGTCCACTATTTCCGTACTTCCCTTACTGACTGACTAGCTTCAAGGCATCAGGTGGCTAAGAGATAACCAACGATCACTCCTATAGTCCTCCCCGGCCTACGCCATAGTGGCTGCACTACCGTATGGCTCCAATAAAACCCAAGAACGGAGATACCCAGTCAAGCAGGCAGCGCGCAATCGATGAAGACGCAATCGCATTGGAACTGGCTCAGGAAGAGCTGAAACTCGTCTACCAATCCGTGGAAGAATTGCTGAATGTGATGCGGAACGGGAATTGCCAGCAACTTGAGGCTGTTTTTGCAGCTGCTCGAAAGGGTGTTCCACAAGATGAGATCTTGGCCACGGTTAGACAATACAACCAAGACAAGGAGAGAGCGGACTCAAAGTAGACAACATACAGTTACGCAAGTCAATCCACGGATTCTCACTTCGGGTCTCTTTTCTATACTCCAGACGTCAGTCCCTCAGGAGCGCGAACGAGGCGGTTTTTACTTGCATGAATTTTCTGGGTATTGTTGCTCCAGAGCACAAGCTGCCTCAGGGCAAATTAAGTGCTGCGCCGGGTGCAGTGCTTAACTGTTTGCGAAAAGTAAGCATGTTCCCGTGATTGTTAGTCAGAGTCTGCTTTCTGAAAGCCTCCAGGCCTCGGGGCTACAAAATAATGACTTGATGAAGGGGGAGAGCCGGCAGCACTCGAGTTCTCGATGAATCTACTAGAGCACGTGCCTAAAGCCAGCTTCGCTCCAAGCCAGACGTGCTCCAAGCCAATGCTTATGCAATGTAAGCTGTTTCTGGCTCTGCCAATATGCTCCAAGCCGGACACGCTCCAAGCCAGACACGCTCCAAGCCAATGCTCATACAACTCACAAGCTGTTTCTGGCGAGCGAAGCCGGAGAGCGAAGCCAGAAACAGCTCATGTCCGGCTTGGAGCACATCTGGCTTGGAGCACAGCTGGCTTGGAGCACACTGCACGCTGGAGCGAAGCCGGAGAGTAAAGCCAGAAACAGCTTATGTCCGGCTTGGAGCACATCTGGCTTGGAGCACATCTGGCTTGGAGCACATCTGGCTTGGAGCACATCTGGCTTGGAGCACAGCTGGCTTGGAGCAAACTGCACGCTGGAGCGAAGCCGGAGAGCGAAGCCAGGAACAGCTTATGTCCGGCTTGGAGCACATCTGGCTTGGAGCATGTTTGGCTTGGAGCATGTTTGGCTTGGAGCATGTTTGGCTTGGAGCACGTTTGGCTTGGAGCACGTTTGGCTTGAAGCCATAAACAGCCTATGAGTTTGTGCTGGTTTGAGTTTGGCTTAGAGCACTTTTGGTAGGGAGCGACTTTTGGCATGAAGCACGTTCAGCATGGGGCACTTTTGGCGTAAGCCAGATGACCCACACGATGGATCTAACTCCGAGTTTCAGGCATGCTTAGTTTTGGACTTCATCTAGCTCAAACTAGCCTTGAGTAAAATGACCAATCGGCTACCTCCCGTATTGCGAAAGCGGCTAGAAGTCGCCTTTTTGGAAAGTCAATTTTAGTAAAACTTGAAAAGGCACCATTTGAGAAGCGCTTGAACTCAAACACACTTAGTCACCGATATAAAGGCTGTGTTTGTACATGGATTTTGCTCTAGCCGATCACTTCTTTTCCTCCATAATTTAGTTACAAATAACAGTATGGCTAGCCAAAAGATTCGGACTTATTCCATGATTGTGTTGCAAAAAAAGCATAAAAGACAACAGCGAAACCGACGTGGGAGTACACTTCTAAAAAAGGCATATGAACTCAGCATTATGGCTGATGCTGAGGTTTTCCTTGGCATCAGATTTCGTGATACCGGTCGCATCAAGTCATTTTGTGCGGATACCACTGGGATTTGGTCATCACATTTATCGCATCTGGTAAGCTTCCTCACCTTCTTGTCTGCAGGGCTAATTGTGATAGGATACATACTATCCTATCCCGGAACGTAAAACGCCGGATGATTTTTCGGGGAGCGTGAACACGAAGTTACAAGTCTTGGGGCAATAAGCAGACACAGGACCGCTTGGAAAATTGTGTTCAAATTAGACCTTGAGCCCGCAAGCTCATAAGCGGATTGGAAGCATGTTATCCTCTTCTGTAACGAAAAATGTGACTTCCCCCAAAGCACGCAGCAAAGAAATACAACAAGATGCATGGTCAGTCTAGAATTCGTTATTCGTTATGTTTAACTTAGGCTGGTTTGGGTGACAGGGAGCGTGTCGACTGCAATGAGTGTGTTTCGGTTGTGTTTGTACCGTTGAACGAGAAATAGGACTGCTCAGTTATACACTCTGACTCAGTACTCGATATTTCGCAAACTGTACTGAAGCTGGTATTGACGGCAGTAGGCTCAATAGTGCTTTGGGCTGCTTTCTCACTTGCTCGGTTTATTGCGTCGTCACGTTGTTCCTTTGCCCAATCCCTGCCGTTACGATACCAAGTTGCGCCTTCTCGAAACGCATCAGGATCACTTGTCATAGACCACCCTTTGATTTGTGTCATATAATACTCGGTCCGATTTGCTGTAGTTGATCTTGAAGGATGACTGGTAAACATTTTTAAGGTGCCATCATGATATATGGATGAGATTGTATAAGCATTATTATCAAAAACAGGCTCGTCTTTGCCATACTCTTGAAGAGAGTGCATTCCCCTTGCTCCTAATGCACCATCATAGCATGCCTGCCTTTTGGCGACTGATGCCGACCCGTCTGGGCCTTTCGCTGCCAGGAAGAAGTTTGGCGCTATGGGTAGATCATGCTGCGTGGATGGAACAATCTGATCACTGAGTTCAATTCGTATCCGACGGTCGAGTTGCTCCGGGCGTGCCCCATGATAACGATCAGGATTACCAGGTACCAGAGTGCCATCCGTAAGATGGTCGAGATTCCTGAAAGGAATACCACCCCCTATACATTTGCTATCTGGATTTTTGCCTTCAATAAAGGGAATCACATTCTCCGTGACCTGTTTCTCCTTCGAAGCATCTGTATCCATCTGAAGAAATTCTTCAAAGTCCTCATCGGCAAATCTGGAAGGGGAAAGTGAGGGTCGAGGCTGAGCAAGTCTAGCAAGTATGTTATCCCAATTGCCGGGCTTCGAAGGCATATGTCCGTCGGGGAATCGATAACGATGGGGAAAGATCCCATGATCGATTAGATGTTGGTGAAAATCGCGATCGTACGGTCCACTACTTTTGGTAGTTGACGGTTTGGTGCTTCGCGAGGTACTTGAACCTCGTGAAGCGCTGACACTGCGTTTTTGGATACGGTACGGTCGGTGAGATTTCATTGTAGGCGGTGGATACTGCAATAGTCAGTCAAATATTGCTGTTGGGTAAGCAGACTTAACTCACACCCCTTAGTTCCGATAAGTCTGGACCACCCTGACGCGCAAACCTTCGAATATCCTTTCTGTCCTTTGAAGTGACAGGTCTTGATGACCGCGTTGCCTGGATAGCTGAAATCTGTGTATTCCTTCGATCAAGTTCCCGCAGTGCGTTATGTGTCAGCCAGACTTTGGAGAGATTATCCCAGAACGCCGCTGGGAGCAAAGACCCGCTAGGATGTTTGACTTTTTGCTTCTTGAGAAGCTGCTCAGGCGGTGCGTCAGCAGGTATTTGCTCCGAAAGCGATCGTTTGCGAGAACGTATTGATCGCTCTGTATGCATTGGGTGACGGTGATCACAGAATGTAGCGGGGAGTGATTCTTCCTGGTGATAATGTCGTGTAAGCGGGCGCATTTATGTTGATAGTTGTTGTGCTTGAGCTCGAGTGAGGTTTGTTGATCACTTGCTTGGCGGCGGCAGATGAGTCACTGCTTCCTGGCTAACTCCAGCAAGCGACAACCAATCATGAAATCTAGGCTCCGCTTCCTGAAACACCTTGCTTTACTTCCTCGTGATCCAATTGGGCTCATTCACAAGATATCTCAATGTAAAACAGCGTTGAATGTCTCAGATTCCAAGGTCCAGTACTATTCATAGAATGAGTCCATGGCGTGCACGATGATTCGCCAGATAAACAGCCAATAGAGTTCTCGCGTCGGGATGGCCAGGAGCGGGACGAATCAGGACGAATAGGGACGACTAAGGACGATTTAAACTGACTACTCCGTACAATTACTGAAACTCTAGCGTGATATTTATAAAGAGTGAATATTATACCTAAAAGGGTCATGTGTTTCTGGTTCAACCGGTGACTAACCTCCATTCCAAGTCTTCGAGAACACGTTAGATATTCTGCACCCACGAGTTTTCTCTTTGCAACTTGCTCCTTTCCTTCCTGGCTTTCACCACCCATTCAGCAACACTAACCACCGCATTGGCCGGAGAATGCTTGTTCTTCACCAAAAGCTCCAGAATCTCAGCAGGGCTGAATTCGTCACTGGGCATCTTCGAGGCGAACTCTTCGGCCAGTCGTTCTATAGTGTCATGCTCATCATCATCCTTCTTTCCAATGGTTTGATCTCCATCCAGTTGTTTGAAGATCGTGCAAAACAATCTAAAAATCAAGTCCTTGTCGGCAAGCGGAAATAAGACCTTTTGATCCACACGACCAGGTCGTACGAGCGCCCTGTCTAGATTCTCAATGTGATTGGTTGTCATAATGAGCACCCGACCCTCTGCCGATGCCACCCCGTCTAGAGCGTTGAGAAGCCCAGACATCGACAATTTCCCAGGAGATCTGCCTCCACCCGAGGAGACTGTCGAGCTCCCACCGGGAGATCTGGGAGTTTCAGGCCTCTCGGTCCGTGCAGTGCCGACGGCGTCGACGTCTTCCAAGAGAACAATGCAGTGCGGAGGGAGCTTGGCAAACAGACTGGCTAGTCCACTGTCGTCGACCTTTGGAATGCTCAGTACATAGATGTCCAATTCGAACCGCCCGGCGATAGAGAAGCTGAAACTGGACTTTCCGGTTCCGGGAGGCCCATACCAGAGGAACCCTCTTTTATATTGTATGCCTCGACTTGCATACCAGCTACGAGTCTCCTCGCTGAGAAAGTCCTCAATATCTTTCACCAGTGCCTCCTTATCGTCCTCGTTCATGATGACTGTGGCGATGGGCCTGATATCTCGTGATACTACCTTCTTCCACTCCCCATTTTCATGCTCGAAGACAGATGTCTTCTTCTGAATACGTTTGAGGTACTCAGTTCGACCCTCCTCAAGGAGCTCTTTCGCAATCTTTGGAGACCTTCCGATGCAAGAGAGACGAAGTTCTTCTTGCGGATTAAAGACACCCTCTTTCACTGTGCAAGACAATTGAAGTAGGTGGTTCTTATACCAAAAATAAAATGAGCCTTTCCAGGGGGCATAGGTCAAAGCCTTCTTCTTGTATCCACTCGAGTCATCAACAGCGAATACCCGTCTCTGCCGGGGCCCAACGCTGGCCAGAGAGGATTTAACCTCATCTGCGAATGGCTGAGTGGATATCCACGTGAGGAGCATATCGTACGCTTCGTCGTGGTGGGGCACAGTGACTGTTGAGGCTTTTCTTGACTGTCAGATGAGTGTCACAGTTATGGCAGGGTCACGAACTGAAGTAAGTCTCCACGAATTCCATCAAATAACGGAATCCATATCTTCCCAGGACGGTGATCATTCCGCAGATGCCTAACAGACGAACATAGATATCTAAATTTCCAGCTAGGAGATACTGCATAGAGGAGAAAATGGTGCCGAAGCCAGGAAAGAAGACGTCCACAATAGAGATCTGGGATGGTGTCGGTTGGATTGGAAAAGAGGTGGTAGCGTTTGATGTGTCCATTTTGGCAGAGTATTGAAGTCGATACTTTTCAAAAGCGATACAGGTCTGAGTTTAAACTCCTCATCGGAATACGAGAGCAGATTTCGAGAGTCGTCAGATGAGTTTGGTTCCTCTTATATGCTTTTGTTGGAATACACATCCTGCATCTAGACTGATAACACCCCGCTTCTGCTCGAAGACGCTAATGTACGTTCTATACAATGTATCTTAGGACTACGTCCACGCCGATCAAGATTCAGGGTTGGCTCTTGGAGTTATCTGAGATACCGAACAAACCATTATTGAATGTTCATGCTTCAATTCACAAGTCTTATCAAATATTGTCATTGCTTACACTCATGAAACTTATTAATCACCGAATCCTCATTTATCTTCATTTCATACCCAGCTGGTGGCATCTGTTTTTGCATCGAGACACTACATCCTGGTGTTCATAATTTTCCTAAGTATTTGAAGCACCCGTGTAGCGACACGGTACACGTAGGCGGCGAATAGAAAGAGTGGTATCACAAATCTGTGATCCCTGTAGGTTGGTATCACGCAGTTGTGATCCCTGATACACTAAATGCTGAGTGTCCGTGATTAAGTGGTATCACAAATCTGTGATCCCTGTACGTTGGTACCATGCAGTTGTGATCCCTGCTAAATGCTTTGTCCGTGATTAAGGTGGGGTGAGATTTACCGGCACGGAAAATTAAATTCCCGGATTACTTCAATCTGGCTGTTGCCCCTCTGTGTTTCGCATCGTCTTGAAACGCAGCAGTACCAGTCTCAGGTATGGCATCAACGGCGCTTACCGTAGATGTGGCAAGGAAGTCCCTCCTTGAGAAGGGATACTTCGATTTAAATGACTCAACGGTGGGCGACCGCGTGTTGGAGATGGAGAAGCAGGGCTTCCCATACCTCACCGAATATGGTATGGACTTTTGCAAGCAATTTGCCTTTGATGAAGTAAGTGAAACAATGTTTTCTGTGGCAATGTCTAATAAACTTCAGCGCGTCCGATCTCTTCTCGAAAACTGCCTTGAACGATGCAGCCTCGGACACTGGCTGAGATATGAAGAATTTCCCGGCCACGTTGAGTGCTTTAGGAGAGGTGGCCCAAAAGCCGGCCTGCGTGTTTTAGTGGTGCATCTGTTGGCCAAAGGTTCACGAGTGGAGTACTATACCTTTTCGCATCTTCATGACTTGGTGACTACGAAGGGGAGAAGATCGTTATACGAGATCCCGAAATCCGAGCTTGAACGTGTCGGCTCTAAGCCGGAGGTGAAGGATTTCCCAGATGGAGGCTTGTAGGTAATAACCTTTATATCAGAGACTCATGCTCTAACAGGTGTAGAGTAATCCTAGATGCCAGGCTTGGCTTCCAGATCGACCAAGGATATGCCATTACGTTTTTATTTGCCACGGATGAAGTCGTCGCTAACTGGGCAAAAATGATCCTTCCATACTCAGAGGGGTTGAGGCACAAAGTCAGGGAACTGGAAATGCTGAGCACAAAAATCAGACTTAATTTCAGGTTTGAGGGTTCTGGAGGCACAGGAGGGTAATTTTCATAGTTTATTGTGTACTGTATACTGGAGCATCAGTGTTTGCCGTTATATCTACAATAGCGTCTTCTACCGTCCATCCGGCTGTCAATGCTGGGACACTGTTCATGATCTGAAGAATAGGAGCATCAAAATCTTGTAGCAAGTCAAGACCTTGGATTTGCCCTTCTCCTGTGTTGAAGTAAACCCCCTCTGTTGACATGTGTGGGGAGCTGTTATTATTAACCGGTTTGGTAGTCATGGTCAGCCGTGGTATAACCATAGGTGACTGCATCGAGATTGGGGGTGCAGATAGTCCAATGCAAGTTGGATCGAGGTGGTTAAGGCTATCACCTTCAGTTATGTGGTGGTGGTTCAAAGTCTTTACGCCAGTCCTGTCCAACTGGGGCTGAGCCTCCAAAAACTCCGAGCTTAGAGCTGCCACGTCCCACGTCCGTTTCTCTCCCGCGACAACTACTGACCGACTTTGACTCGTGGCGAGAGCTAGTTGTTTATCGGATTGGTCGCGTAATTCATCGCATGTTTTCTTGATAAATGCCTGCTTTCTTTCGCCTGCTCCGTCATGTTTGTCGGCATGTCTAATGAACTCGCTCACAGTCCTGAAAACTTTAAAACAGCACACGCATACTTCCTCACATGTGACATCTGCACCAAAAAATTAATAGCATGCCGCGTATAAGGGGCGGTATCACTTGCGTTGTTGGAAATGACGTCGAAGTCCCTGCATTTTTGGAAATGGCTTTCCTCGCTTACATGATGGACAAAAATGCCCTTTGGGAGCCCCAACATGATTTATCGTGCGCGTAAGATTTGCTTCTTTGATATAACTATTCTGGTTGGCGTCACTTTCGCCTCGATAGTTGTCGTTTCTGTTTTGAAAATCATCACCACTAATCCTCAAATGGGTGCGGCAACGTTCAAGTTCGGCTTGCAGGTGCTGTTCGCGGGACTGGAGTAAAGTCAGCTAGGTAGTATGACTTAGATTTATGGGTAAATAACCCGGTATTCTTCGAGATGCTCACGTAGATGGCCTTCTGTTGCAAAGAAAGCTGAGCAAGCACACTGTGGTTGGATGCTTGACATTGTTGAGGATGACGCAAAGAAGAAGGTGTGTGGTAGCCGAAGGGTTTCGCCCCTCCTCTTGGTTTTTGGATTCGGGTGGAAACCTGATTAGTCATCATTTCGAGAAAATGTAACGTTAGTTTTAATTGGCTGCAAAAGTGGAATAAAGAATATTTAAACCAGGCAGCCCGCCGCTGTTGGGCAGCAAGACTAACTTTCCATTCAGTTTTGCCTTACTTTTTCATTGAAGTCACCGCTCTAGTCACGAAGAGTCAACTATTCTATCTCGGCTTCACCCTGACGAGAGCGAAGATGGCCAAATGTGAAACCTGTGGAGGCAAAAAGATAGTGAACGGTATTGCTTGTCCAACTTGCAGTGGTAAGAATTGAGAATCAGTAGGTGAGCAACGTTCGAGCCTGGAAATGTTTTATTCTTAATGTACTTATTCCCTGGAAACGTTTAGCTAATACATTTCTGTAGATACATCAACTGCTTTCATGCCCACGCAATACCTCGTGCGAAAGTCGTGGGGATTAATATAAGCCATCTTCAACGTCTACAATATGGAAGCGGAGAGAATGTCTGTTATTAGGGGTAAGAGACGGAATCCCGTATGTAGCTCAAATAAGCTGACCTCGAGGAGTAGGGCTTCATGTGGCTCCAAGATCCCTTTTGGCCCGTGAGGCAGTCGAGGGCCGCAGACTGTGATAATATGTATGCATCCAAGCACAGGAGAATTGAACGATCGATCAATATATACAAATCAGGATGGAATGGAACGTTGCAGTTCTAAGTGGTCTCAGCTGCGATGAAGTTGTGCTTTTCTCGTACTCGATACAGGACACATTTTATGTTTAGCTACATGCATTATAATTGATTTTGAAAGGAAACTGCGTAGAAGCTGTTCCCAGTCTTGTTGTGCTTGCTTCAGTATACTAAAGATAACCGGGGCCCTTGTTACCGGTACATCCACTCTTCCGAATCATCGAGGAACGCCTCGTGATATGGATGCTTTTCTAACCATTCCTCTGGAGGGATTGCATTTCCATACTCAGTATAAGAATCGGAAAGCGCAGCATTTACGTCTGCACTAGGTTAGCATGTAAGTCCAGGAGCGGATATCAGCTGGCATACCGCTCAATGACATTGGATACGATGGTTGAAGAGTAAATCGAGAAGCTCTCTCCCGGCAAAGGACAGCTCGGTATTGCAGTTCCTTACGAAGTCAGATATGACACGTATACAAATAAATCGTCGCAGTAATCGAGCATGTAGGGCCAGTTTTAAAAATCGGGCGTGGAGAAATTGCTAAAATGTCGCATACGATGTAAATATTCTCCGTTGTCGCGGGCATAATTTTCACAGCCTAATCGACCAAGTGACAAACTCCTTCCATGACCACTAGTTATGGATGGGAGCCGCGTCTACAAAACATGATTGACTGTAAATATCAACCATCTCATTGGCCCTCTCTAACCGAGTCTCCACGACTACTTAAATACCTTCAAACCACTTATGTTTCAACGCCTCGCGGGCAGTGATTCTTTTTTCAGGATCGAAATTCGTCATGGCGGACATAAGACTCTTAAAATCTTCGTCCGCGTCTTTCCACAATGTAAAAGGCCTGCGCGGATTTTCTTTGTTAAAGCCATCCCTCGTGACCTCAAAAATGCGTACCCAAGGGTTGTCGCCGAGATATTTGAAGAGCCCATCTAATCCGTCTAGGTCTGCAAAATAGGATATTTGACGCTCAATGACAATGGCTAGACGGTCCACACCATCTTCTAATTCATCGTCACCCACGGCGAAAATGACGCGCCGGTGCATCGCGTAAATGCACTACGATGATAAGTGAGCACTCTTGTGGAATCCAAGCGCTCTTTCCGCGTAAATAAGAAATAGACTTACAACAAGAGCGAAGGAGAAAATATCAGACGGCTTATTCACAGGACCACTGGCGTGGGCTTCAGGACTCCTCCACATCCAGTTACCTGCTTGTTTTCCGATCATATGTGAACCAGGAGGGATGTACGCGGCGTCTTCGAGGTCCCCAAGCTGAACTCGGTTGATAGTGATTCCATTTTGGCCACTTTTCCAGTCGATGAAAATGTTGTCTGCCTTGATGTCTGGCACAGAACATGAGACTTAGCATCTACTTGCAACAATCGAGAAACCGATAGAACGCACCTGTGTGGACAATATCATGGTCATGAAGTTCTGCAATCCCTTGAAGCGCATCTTTGAGAATCTTTTTCCTTGTTTCAGTCGGCAGGTCCTTCTGAGCGAGGTGTAGGAGATGATCGGTGAAGTATTCGAAAACAAACATTGACTGCTCAGGAATAGTGTCCTGGGCGAGACGCACGTGGTCTCCCCCATCGCGTAGCTTATTATTAATATCTTGGAGGTCATCGTAGTTAATCTCGTGGATATATTTCAATATAAACTTGTGGTTGTTGGCGCTGTGAAAAACAATAAGCAGGTTAGCGCAAAGGGGTTACTACTGACTCACGTAGCAAGATAAACGCGGCGTGGAGGAAATTCTTCTTCCTGAAGTACCTTTTCGATCTTATATGCCGACCGGACTTGCCCACGTACTCCTCGGAGATTATCTAGAGATTTTCACACTATTTTTTCATGGGCTCTGGGAGGGGATATTGTCGCTGATAGAAAAATTCAGCACTGCCAGATATGTTCGGTGTCTGAAAGAGAAAATGCCTGGGGAAAATATGACCTTCGATGATAGCATGGGAGGCAAGAGGTGTTTCGAGAAAGTCATGGCGCTCTTGCTGGTAAAACTGTGAAGGGAGTCGGGGAACAGGAGTTTCCTACACACGGCTCATTAGGTAAGCTGTTCTATTTATAGCCAGATTAACTAACTAGTTAACCACTGGTTCACCCTGGTTAGAACTTGACGCGTCATTTTTTTCCAGGGTCCTCGTGGAAACTCACTTTCTCATGGTGAGGATGCTAGTAAGTTGACAACAGGGTCTAGTTGAGGCTCAGAACTTTCCAAGTCGAAAATCCGGTGAAAAACCCTTTACTGGTTGGCATGACGTGGCGGGAAACTTTCAAAGAACAAGTTACCTTCGTCGATGAGCCTTCGAAAACTCACTGGGCCATAACCCACTGCTTCCAGATAATCATCAAGATTATCGTTTGAGAAGGAGAGATTGACTACGAAAGGAAGATATGGTGAAGATACGATCGACGCCTCGCCACATACACGTAGATTTACCCTCTAGAGCAATATACATCGCCCGTGTCTGCTAGCTCTCAGGATAAAAGTGAGCAAGCAGTACATTCCATCACGTTCGGATAAAATGTCAAAAGTCAACCGAATCGCTCTTGCAATGAGCGTAGGGGCAAACGGACTTGAACAAGGAGCTATTGGAATCCATCTCTTTCACACAATAATTACATAGGCTATGGTCACAATTCAGACATTTCCAGCTCTCACTAAATGTTAATCACTGAGTTTTGAGAGATTCAGTGTCAAATGCCTGGCGGCGACGGTCATGTATCAAACACCAACATGTGCATAGCGTAACTTCGACAAGCGACAACCAATCCTTCAAACTTGGTTTCTTCTTTCTGAAACTTCTTGCTTTCAAATTGCTTATTTCTTAGCGTACTACGTAGAGGCGCGTGCAGGAAGGGCCAATTAAATCGCCTGCTCAACTGTTCAAATGTCTTACCTTGTTAGCGATTCACAAAATGATAGCTTGTCAGCCTTCGAGGCACGAAGTAGCGCATTTCAGGACTGGCGATACGCCATCATTGTTAAAATCAATGATTGTCGCTAGAAACAGACTAAGCTAATGTATTCGCGGTCAGAGAGTTGCTATGGTTGAGCCCCGCAAATATTTCCACTCTTGCTTCTAGTCCAAACGATCACAATATTCCTCTTTAAATAGACTTGCGCCGATATTTAAGCGCTGGTTTGTTTGAAGTCCAGTTATCTAAAGTATTCTAAATGCGTTTCCTTCCGGGTGACGTGACGCATCCACTCGAGTCTCATACACTTCCCTGCGCTGCTGGATAATAGGATATTATGTGATCTAGGATGCCTGATGAGTGCCACTTACTTTGGATGCTTCTCATACTTTCTTTGAACGATGTCCAATCAATTTGAACTGTCTTAGAGAGTCAGTTAAGAGAGTGAACCACGATATCTAGGCGAAAGCATATAAAGAGAGTGCTACTGATTTTTTTAGGAGGGGTTTTTGATTTATTTCACAAACACATATTACTCAGTTTCAGTGACTCAAAGCTGTTCGCACAAATATTTTTCTTCAAACCAACATCTTGCCTCATAAAAATGGCATCACGATATGTTTCAAGCCAGCTCATCCAAACGATCCAAAAAGGCGGGAGAAACGTCGCTGTGGAAATTGTCGACAAAACAACTGCTTGGATCCGTCCATCAAGTTTTCCCATTGCTAGCGTTCGGTCTGACTTTGTCGAAGTCGTTCAAGAAAACTTTGACAATCTCCAATCTTCGACTGCGGTCGTTGCCATGAAGTGAGCTATTTCACAACTCTTCCAGCAATGCAATTGTCCCTTAACATGAACTTAGGGAATCTGAGCACCAAAGTGATAAGGATAAGCGCATGCACTATACGGCCTTCGAGCTAGACAACAACCGCCAGGTTATACGTACAACCCATCTCGTGAAGCACAAGTAGAGCGGGGCATTTTAGTCGGAAACGTGATTCCAAGCTGTTGAGGATTAGGGATGTTTTCACTGTTGATCGAGTGTAGTATCTTTTTACTATAGCATCCGATGCCTGTGATTTACTGTTGAATTACTGTTCTAGTCTTTGCTTTGTTGGGGTACTCATTACTCACCAGCCCAGGAAAGAGTTCGGATCGCTCTGAGTGCAGATAGACAAGTTGAAAAGAAGACTTGTCTGTATAATAAGAAACTTGAAGCATGTGATATGCGTTCAAAGCAATATATAAATCAACGTTTGATCTCTGGTTTGTGATGTCTTGGGCATATCTTCCGACCTTCTTTTACTAGTCATTTTGCTGAAGGTGCCTTCCTCATCAACACATCAAGTGATTGTATCCACTTGTTTTATTCATGTATGTATGATATCTCGCGTATAGATATTGACTAACAAACCTTTCTATAATGTATGATCCACGAGCATACAACTCGCTACCTTCTCTTCGTCAAGCTGCGGAGCGGCTAGATGGACATGCTACGAAGCACCTTTTTGGTGAGATTCGTCAAGTGTTCCTCGACAACAATGCCCATGAAAAGTATGGCATCAGCGTGCTGCACAAGCATTTCCCCATCGGCGAAGAAGATCGTCTAGTCGACTGTCGACATACCCCGACAGCTTGGAAAGTCCTTCCATTCCTGGATTCTGCTCGGTCGCAGTTTGCGGTCTGCATTGGCGGGATCACCCTTTGTGGATGATTTTTTGTCCTTCTGAATAGTCAGACTGACCGAGGAAGAGATGTTTGTGGCACGCGTCGAGAAATTCGGGGAGTGTCGTATTTCGAGTTTGCTGTATTTCGAGGTTCAGGTTCCGTTCCGCTTCCTCTCGTCGTCGTTCCGCTTCTTCTCGTCGTCTTTCTGCTTCTTGAAGACGCTTGCGTATTTCATGTAGCTCATTCTGCGACATTTCGACTTGAGTTGAAACTTGGGTTGGCAACACGTTCTTGCAACCAGACATGTGAACTTGTTTTGGTCAGGCGGGCGCTAAGACCGGATACAGTCTAGTGTCAAAGTTGCGTGACCGGGTGAGGACGAATGGGAACGACCAGGGACGATTCAGAATGAGGTCCTCCTAAATTGCAGATGTGATTATATGTGTATACCTTGCAACTATAGTCGACGAACTTAACTACTTTACAACCTCTATTAATTTCCAGAAATCAGTTTTTGATTTTTATGAATGCCTGATACTATTCCTATGAAATGAAGGGAGTGAACCTGCATTACTTCAAGGTCACTGGTACAAGCTATCATCAGACGCCAAGACACCTTGCGTGGGAATACTGTATCCACTTTGTGAGAGAGCCAGCCGCAGATGACTTGAGTGCACTCCTGTGTTTTCGCTCATCGCAACATTGTGGGCTATTTTCACAACATTTTTGATCTGTTTCGTGACGGAATTAGCATTGAAATTTTCAGGGTCTCACAGCAGCCCTACCTGGCGACCATTCAGCTTAACCTCGGAGAACTGTATCAAGGCTTCTTCCTCGATATCTGCCGAATGTTCCCGCAGAAAATGCTGGAAAACCGACTTTCTGGCCGATCGATCTAGATCGTCGTACTGCAGTTTGAGTTGGATTCGATCGAGGATGGCTGAATCGAAGTCCCCCAGCATGTTAGTCGTGAGGAAAAAGATGCCATCATAATATTCAAGCGTCCGGAGAAATGTCGCCACCAGACGATTTCGTTCTAAATGGAAACCGTCTCGTTTTTGCAGATACACATCCGCTTCATCGAGGAGCAGGACCGCTTTCCAGTCGCTAGCTACTTGAAAGGTACGGGTGAGCTGCACCTCAAGCTCCTCCGCCCGTATACTCAGGTCTCCAGACGATATCTGCAATGATCAGTAGGCTGTTATGAAGAGATGTAGAAAAAACATACGGAATACAGAGGCCTTTGAAGCCGTTCAGAGATGGCTTCGGCAGTAAGTGTCTTCCCAACACCTGGTGGGCCACTGTCACATGCTCATTAGAGTCAAACTGTAATAAGCAGCTGGATGAACGTACTGTAAGAGAATGATGACCCCTCGTCCTTTTCCTGTAATAATATCATCGAACGTGCCTTCATACCTAGTGCTGACACGGCTCTCCGCAAGAGACTTTATCACTTTTTTCTTCGCTTCAGGAACTGTTAACATGTCGAAAGGGGCGTTCGAGAATGTGATTTCCTTGACACTTTCCACGCCAAATTCTCCTATATTATGTCAATAATCATCCAGACTGTTTCTAGCTTGGTAATACTCGCCCCAGATTTTTTCCTTCAAGGAGAACCCTAGCACTGTCGGGCTACAAATTGCGAGGTCCTCTTCTTTCAGCTCACGGAGGTCAATATTCTTGCCTTGAATACGGCTTTCTGGTCCACCCTCTTTCATATGTCCGAAGAAAAAATCGACCGTATCCGGTTTTTTGATGTCTAACCTCGGATGGTTTGGAACCATCTTGCGGAAAACCGCAGCATCGACCATAATCCTTCCATGCACAGGGAGTTTTAATAATGTGTTCTCGTCTAGGATGAACATATTTCCGCAGTACTCGCGATGGTGGCTGCCGATCAGGGAAACGAAATGGCGGCCATTGCACACCAGCCGTGACCAGATATTTGGGTCGGTGTGGTAGTTCAGTGGATAAATAGGCAAGGTCTGGATCTGCTTGGTTCCTCGAAACGATCCAATCTGCAGCGTCTCGGTTGATTCGCCGAAAACTTCTCCGTCATAATCGAGATATCGTCCGTTGACTTCAAGAACTTCACGACCTCTGATGGTTTTCTTCTCGATGTAGTCGTATCGAATGCATCGTGGCAGACCGGTGGAGGGGCAAGTCGCAAAGACGAGCGTCCCTGGTTTCAGCAGAGCCCACACGAGATCCCAGGTGATTCTTTGAGATTCTTGGAATAGCTTCAATTGCTCTGCCACCGGTGCATAGGTTTCTTCAAGGTACTGGATGAGTTTGCTTAGATGCAGCATAGCGTCATCCAAGGTCGCTTCTTGGGAGCGAGAACTCTTGAGATGATCTCTGAGCTCATCCAGGTAGTGATATAAAAGATCACGCTCAATCTATGTGCTCAATCAGCGATGGAACCTAGCCTGAAATCCTGTCAACATACCGCAGGCCGATCCGCATCGAGGTTCACGGTTCGGATGTCTTTTAGAATGGTCCTCAAGATGCAACTTAATCCGGGTGATTTGATGTCAACATAAACAATGAGCTCTTCGGTGTGCTTGTCTACAAGGTGTCAGCGTGATTCAATTGATGGGTCGGTACAACTCACGACTACGTTCACGAATCACAAACATGTATTCGTCTAATTCATCGACCTCTGGTATTGGGGTGGAAATGGTGATCTTATATGCATACTTCGCGGAATCCCATCTATCTGCGGTCAGCGACGCTCATGAGATAGTTTCATCGACATACACCTCCTTGACGGTCTTATACTCTGCCTTGGAGGCACAAATTCTCGCTCTAGTTCTGTCTTGTTCCTCAGGCTTCTCGTTGCTGCTAGAATCCTTGCCATCCGAGGTAGGTTGTGCGCTTTGAATTCCCAGCACTTCCGCCAATAACCATTTCAGCTCTTCTTTAGTAATGAAATTCGAAGGGCCCACGTGTGGACTATCAGATGGCATCGTAGCAGATCTAGCGTCGAGTTTTGTACCGGAGAATCGACATGTGTCTTGTGGGCAGTCGTCGATGTCGGTTATGGCGTCCCAAGATTGGGAATTCCCGTACTTGTCTAACTGGCTGTTCTGCGCGAGCTGCGTGAAGAGCTGTAGCAGACGTGGAGTGCCAATGGGGAAATGTCAGCGAATGAGAACATCACGGGGAGGCAAGTACTCACCATGTGTCGTATTGTCACTGTCCTGCTCCAAACTGGCATGTCCTATTCCAGAGGGGTTTAGCGATTCTCTAGATGCCAAAGCCGCCTCCAACAGTCCAATGAGTTCATTTTTGGTGATAGGCTCCAGGCCATTGTCAGGTGGACGCTGCGTCTCGTCGGCAAATAGTCCGCGGATTGCATTGGCATACAATTGAATTCTGTTTTCATCTGAAGGTATTCCTTGAGGTGGACTATCAGGGGGTGTGACTTGAGCCTGTGCCTTGGAGTCGTGGTAGCTGGAAGCCATATTGAACAAAATGTATGGGAATGAGAGATGAAGGGTGTCTTGAACAATGTCTTACGAATGATGCAGGTTAGGTCGAGACATGCAGGATGAGGTGGGAAAGATATTGGGGAAGTGCACTACCCTTATATGTCTGTGGCTGGGATTTTTGTGCGCGTACATCGCTTCCACAAAAGCTCGAGACACGACACAATTCGTGCTACGATCATTCCAAATCACGGACACGGCAGACTCATCACCGATCAACGTGCCTGGAACGGTCTAAATTTCGAGTCAATGCAGCTGCTCAAAATAGCACTTTGGCAGGCGCTAGAGAGCATTATTTTACGCTTAGGTGCCATTTCGGTGCAGATTGTCTATTAGGGACATGAAGCTGCAGCTTGTCCGGATTGAGATGGCGTTCAATGAAATACTCAGCTGGCTCGCTCTCACAAAGCGGCTGGCCTGCATAACGGTACTGTGATAGGCCATTTCTTCAGACCAAGCGGAATATCAAGTCTGGTACCAAGCAGTCAGAGCAAAGACTTTGCCCACCCTGCACGTTTTTACGACCCACACTATCAATCAGTCGATTCGGACAAAAGGCCAGGCTTGCTCCCTTAATCGATATTGCGATCCCCCCCGAATTCCCTGGACTACCTAGTCTAGTGCCGCAGCTAAGTCGTGCATGGCTGAGTATCAAGTTTTTGGATATGTGCAGACTCCTCTACACTTCTGCTTATTTGTGGGTACCTTAACTAGACATGATATCGCGGCTTAGGAAAGATTGGAGAGATGACAACGTATCATGCTGGGTTTGCTTTTCTACTTTTCAACTGCGGAGCATTATCACTTGAAGCATGTTACTTGTCGTACACCATAAGCTGGCCATGAAGGATGCAAGTCGCTATCTGCTGGACGGTAATAGCGACAGAGAACTGCGGGATGGATCTCCGAATTTCAAAACCCATCCGTTTGAGATCTTCCTGGTGTATTTCCGTCAATGCCGACGACAACCCGTCATGTTCTTGCACTCCCCCTGGTATGGCCGTGTCTTCCGCCATGGCGTTTCCAATGCTTTGGGCCAGACTGTGACCCGGTACGATCCATTTGTATTCTTGACCATTATACAGGAAGCGACCTGCAATATTTTGCACCTCCTTGGTCGGATATGATTGAGTCCAGAGAAGCCCATCAATGCCACATATCTGGAGGTACGGGATCAGCAAGCGGTGGTATAGGGGGAAGCTCGAAAAGATACCGTCACAGAAGACCATTGAATGTTCAGAGGGATCAGCTGATATTGTTTCAAATCAACTGGGGGTTGATATATCCATTTATTTAACTGGTACTTGAGAGATTGCTGAATTTCGATAGGCATTTTGCGGAAGAGGCTTTGATCAACGTTGTGGAAATATTAGTGCTGAATGTTGCGATGTAGTCGAGCGACTGATTTGGAATGAGTTGAAATGAGTTATTTGATATCATCAGCTACCCACGATGAAGATCTATTTATACTTTTTGAGACTAGCTAAGCTCGACCTTCCATGTGCAAGGACGACGCCAACAATCTTAGTATCCACGTATCGTATCCAGTTGCATGAAAGAGCAGTTGTGATGCTTTAGTTTTCTGAGCATCGATACGAGTTGACCGATTACTCCACCTAAAGCAGGGCCCTCCATGGCTAATCTCAGATTCTCAAATTTTGGCTTAAACTTGGTCTACTCATGCAATCTTTCCAAACTAGCGAGAAATGGCACAGCTGCCAGCAGCCATATGCCTTGATACACCGGCCCATTGATATCGTAGCCCATCCTCTCGACACGAAGCTAGCTGAATCGATGGAAACGAGCGAACCTACCAGCTATACGACGCTCAGATCCCTGTTGCAGCATGCAGATATAGTCATTGGTGTTGATCTGCTGGACTAAGCCATGTCCAGGGGCTGTTTAGAGTCGTAGATACTCGTCACTTGCTGCAGACCTAGACGCAAGCTAGGGCTAAACGAGAAGCTGCAGATGTATGGGACAGTAGTGATGAGGAGGAAATTCAACGCCTGAGCACACACGCAGTTACCATTGGCAAATCTCACATATTCAAATGTTGGCTTAAATTCGGTCTCTTCATGCAATTTTCACAAACTAGCGAGAAATGGCACAGGCAGTTTATTACCAGCATTGTCATGCCTTGGCCCACCAACCTCTTGACCTACGGGTGCATTGCTGCAAATATACTATACCCGGTCTAGATACTGAACGGATCCATTGTGACAAACTAGATACATTGGTGATCATCTCCTGATCAGGGAATTGAAAATAGCGGCAAAAATGTTTGGCGGAAGTTCAGGAAGGTCAGGAATCAAAGTCTTCGCCTCCGCATATGGAATGGAGACCTGGACCCTTGTTATTTTGTTCCAAAGAAAGTATACCGGGAGACTTCCTTTGGCAGACCACGGGATTTGTCCATATCTCTCAACCTTATACTCTTTGCTATCATAGCGCACAGTAGCTTTGTAAAAGCCATCTATTCTAGGAACATCTTGTAATCTCCGGGGGTGTAGCCAAAAAGAGGCAGTATGATCGCCCTCATACTTGGCAGGAAGTGTTTCAATCTCGACTTTCTCAAGAACGCCAATTTCAGCAATGCCTTCTTCCTGTACACAGTCAGACAAATGCTTAAGCCAGTCCATCGGATCAGGGACACTAACAAGGTCATCCTCCAATGAAGGCTTGTCATTCATAAATGCAAGCCACCGAGACCAAAACGAGAAAATTGAGAGCGGTGGAAGGCAGAACATCTCGGCTCGGCAATGCGTCGTGGTCGTGGATCTGGTTGTGAAATGCAGTCTAAGCAGTCTGATTTGAAATGTTGCAGGGTGAACGTACACACTATTTCGGAGGTTTCGGCTGGCCAGGCTTCTTTATACCGGTAGTATCGTATGCGCCTCTGGAAGGGTCGATCATGTTCCAAGTACCTGAAACCGGTGAAAGACTTGAATCAATCCGTCAAGATGCGGTGAGCCTGGGACAAGGCTGGCATCTTATAGGGCTACTGGATATGTTGCGTAGATGGGGTCAACAATTGACTTGGTCTTTAACATAACTGAGAAGGGCGTCTACAGTAGCTATGATCTACCGTCTCGTCCTGTCCCGTCTCGTCCTGTCCCGTCCCGTCCTGTCCCGTCTCGTCCTGTCCCGTCCCGTCCTGTCCCGTCTCGTCCTGTCCTGTCACCTCCTGGCTCAAGTGCATAATATACAATATACTAGGGTCGACTCCCCTACGAATCGTTCAGTACAGTTTCGGATTTTATGAACAGTCAGCTGAAGTGCTGGTTCTTGTAATACAACTTGGCGTCATCAATTTCTGATGGCTGCCTGTTTTTGAAAGTTGCTGAAGCTGAACTTGAATTTGATTATATATTTCTACTCAATCCGGACTGATTTGGAATCTGTGTTCCCCAAGCATTTTTTTCCTCAGTCATGTGTCGTCAGTTGAATAATGGAGGGGCAATAAACCATGGGTAGGATTTTCTCACCCTACTATGGCCCCGCCGGATGGAATTTTCGGGCACCAACTTTGTTTTATCGTTCCGCAAGCCCTTCTTCATCAATGGCTTCATTCGGAGTCAGACGCCTGCCTATCCTTGGTATTATTCTTGAAGGAGTTTCAAGTCTTGCTTTCTAAGATTGATAACGGTAGGTCGGCATCGTCTCACGTTAACAAAAAAAACTGACATATCGCAGTTTCCGACCGCCGATTTAAGCAACGAAATCTTTGCGACAAACAGCGCTTTTCGAAATCGTTTAATCCTCACTATTCCTCATCTGGAATTGCTCCTGAAATCGCTCCGGTCATTTGCTTGAACACGTGTTATGTCGGAGGGTGCTGTTGGGGAAAGGGCGTTGAATGGGGAATGGGAATGGATATCAAATAAGCGGTTGGAGATAAAGGAAGATATGATCATGATGTTTGAGGGTCGCTCTTGCAACATAACTGACAGCGACGGCAATCCCATTCCCGGCGGTGAATTAGGCGAACGTGACGGCCAAGTTACAAAGGATGTTTTGGCAGGTTCTGTCTGTTATATTATGAGAGCAAGAGCCAAATTTCAAAAGAAGGATGCATTATGATTCGAAATGCTAGCTATGGTCTGTCACCGAGCTTAAGGGCATCAGAGATCTTGAATCCAGCGTCATACCCCATTCTGATCACTAGTAGAGTATCCTCGTTGACTTTCTGTGGTAAAAAGAGATTCAAACAATTTGTTACCGACAATCCACCTCTTGTCTGCTCCTCCTTCCATTGCTTGCTAGTTTTTATTCCCGTACGAAATGGTTCGGGCAGATTATCAATCATGTCATGTCTTGTGTGCGAGAATGATAGATACAGATCGGGATCTCCTGACCAAATTCAGTGAATAGCCCCTAGATAGATCAAGCATGTAGGAGAGATGTACCAATTTCTGACGCCTGTGACAGCAACATCTGAAGCCTCAATGGCTCACGAACCATTTCATGGCTCGTTAATTCATAAAACTCATCATTTGAATGACTTCCCAGATCTGGGCAATGATGAGTGGTGAGTTTGGACAGAGACTCTGGCACTGCTAACCCTTTCCACCAGCGTTCGAGATGATCATAAAAGATCCCAGACTTGATACTAGGGAGATTTGAGATTCTGAAAGACAATGCACATAGAACAAACAGCCTAGGTGAGATGTCATGAACTTTTCTCGCAAAGACTCGTGCACGTGTTCTGACACTCTTCCGTTGTCTGGATCTCGCGCTGAGTGATTCATCCGTTTCCTTGTATAGCTCAATCCAAGTTATCAGCTGGTCGAGCTCATCGTCCGTTGGTGGATATCGTATATTAGGCAGACTGTTGTTGAGTTGCGTGAGGAAGGTATCAATCAGAGACTTGGTAATGGCATCCATGCTGGATGACGCTCGTGGAACAGGAAGGACGGGACGAGACGGGACGAGACACCTCTTGTATACGAAGTGGAGTCGCAATTCCTGTCCCGTCTCGTCCCGTCACATTTGTCATCTGCCTCACCGGCTAGCTACTTTAGGTAAGTAATGACTAGCGACCCCACAACGGTCAGGTGCTTCACACGTAATTACGGAGGCGGAGCCCACGTTCGGGAGGATTATAGATTTTCCGAAGAAACTGAAAAAGCAAATGGAAACGGGAAATGGTGCTGCGCCTTTTTTTCCCACTTCTCGTCCGTGCCTTATCGATGGGAAGCTGATTGCCTTTTGCTCAATGAAATGCTTCCTGGTGAATTTACAAAAAGTAGCCATGCTCATGTGCGAAATTCACTTTCAGCTCCATTACCCGAAGAAAGTATCAATTAGAGATTTGGTGGTGGCATCCATGCTGGAATGATGACGCTCAGAGATAGGTTGGACGGGACGAGACGGGACGGGACATGCAGATT